ATTTACTTGAGGAAAATTTTCGGGGGGAAATTTTGCACAAAAGATTAAAAAATGTTTTTCTTCTTACAGCACTGGAAAATATGGTTCTCTGTCATTGTTCTGTTTCCAATGTGATGGGAATTTTTTTACCACAATATTATGTTATTACTTTATTAATCACCCTTCTTTCCTTCTTTAGAACATCTATTTTTTTCCTGTAAATGTGCTTCACAAGCTTTCATTCTGCAATCCACACAGCTGGTCATCTTTCTTTTTTTTTGTGTCTAAAAGCAGCCATATGTCATCAACAACCCTCTCATGTATATTGAACTTCCTTAGCACATCAGCTTGTCTCTTTGAATGTGTTACCTGATGTCTTTAAAGTGGCAAAACACAGAAAAGTGGGTCCTCCTGGTCCTTTGTTCATCAGACCAGCAAGAGTCAGGAGTATGGCAGAGAAGGGGTGTTTAGGCTCCCAGGCCATATCTATTCTAGCTTTGCTTTTTAATTTCTCCTTGCTTCAGCTCAACTGGCAGAATATGGCTCAAATCAGCTCTATGCTGTCCTGTAGTAAGTGTTGCTCTCCTTTATCGATGGGAAAGACCCAAGGATACCGAGCTCTCATGAACTCGATGTTAGATCATCCATGGCAACTCTGATTCTCCATCTCGGTCTGTATGTCCCAGTGCTTTATTTGGTGCTCGCTGTTTTTAGAATGGGTAGTTTTCTCTAGGAATTAACAGAGACACAGTAATAGTCCTTCTGCTCAGAATGTTAGCATCAGTGCCTGAGAACCATCACAACATGTCTGGCAGGATGTATGTGCATAACAGAGGATATTTGTTCTAGGAGAGCTAGATCGAACGCCTGAGCTTTAATGAAAGTTTGAAGAGCTTTTGGTTCAGGAGATAGTCTGTCGGGGAATATGCTCATAGCACTTTCTGTTGCTGTTGAATTTGGAACTTCAGGAACATAAGTGGTTTCTCTCCTTCCTAAATGAGTTGCCATCATCACATAGAGCTAGAAGTGCATCCATTTTGGAGCTCAGTCTTGCATCTGAAGCATGGCCTTATCATCTGTAGATAGAGAGCTTGGTGTTTTGTGGCACTGGTATTTGGCCATCCAGTAGCACTGAAATGTTCATGAGATACCCATGGTTACCTTGGCAGTAAAGTGATGAGATATGCTTGGTGAAATGGGAATTTTTAGAGGTGGTGAGATTTTCAAAGCTCTTTCCTTTTTTATGAGCGTTAACTCATTTGTTACTGAGATTCGTTTTAAACAGTCAGTTAAGGAATGCTTTTAATAGGCTGAGAAAAGTTAAAGGATGTCAGTGCATTCTTTAATCCTGCCACTTGTAACAATCCATAGAATTTTGTACTCATTATGCTTTTTAAGGGTAATTTAGATTCCTTCACCTCCTGAACAGAAACTCACTCCTGTATTCTTTCCTCTGAATTCAGCTTTCTAGATAAGAAAATAAACTAATCTTATATGAATTTTTATAATCTGTACCCCAGCCTGAGTAAAATTATTGCCTGCACATACACAAACCCCCAAGTTTAAAACCAAATCCAACTATGCTCACCATAGTGGTCACTTAAAATGTTTATTATCTTTGAATCTATCAGAAGCAAATTAACAACATTTATACAGAAAAAATACTTTAAAATCACACAAGACAACACGAAAGAGCCACCATTAAACAGCTTAAAGTCTTCCCTTTGTATTTGCAATACATTTGGCAGGGTTTTTTTGTCATGGACTTACAAGCCTTAGGTGTTCAGAGAAAAAGAAGCACCATAGTACCATTCCCCAGTACATACCTGTGTGTTTAAGGCCATAATGACACTAGCCTGCAAGAGATTTGGAAAGCAGGGAAAGCTGTGGCCTGTGCCTTTAATTCATCTCAGCTAGGTCCACCCTGATGAAGTGATCTATCATCATTGCTCCCATAGCAGAGCACATATTCCTACAAGAAAGTTTTGCCACTGCAGCGGTGACTGGACTAACATTGCCTGGCATCCAGCAGCGTACAGACTAAACTGGAGTTTTTAGTTAGAGAATATGGAAACTGACAACAAATTATTACTTGTGGTCTTTTTCCAGTTTTCAAGTGCAAACACACCAAAGTTTATTTTAAATCTGAGCCAGTCAGACATTTAGTAATATAGATCAAAGAAGAAATGAAGACCTCCCATGCTTATTATTTCAATATGATGTCTGTTCTAATAAAGTGTAAGAATGCCTGTGATAGACTAACTAGTAGGAATTTTCTGGTTCTGTAGTTTAGCCTTAAATATATACATATATTTGTAAATTAATCAGAAACATATTGTCGTGGTTTCAGTTCCTTGGAAAGCTGATTGTTTTCAATCCTTTCTTTAATCTTAGAAATATGGTGGCAGTCTGCCAGCACACTTTCAGATAAACAGTCCACTTCACATTTAAAAGCTGTAGAATCACTGATGTTGACGGGGGGGGAATCAACAGAAAACAACACCAGTTCTTTCTCCCTCTT